ACACCCATATGTTTCTGTACAATTTTGTCACACGTACATGTATTCAGGCATGCAACTTTTCCTCGGATCAGCTGATTTCCTCTTTTTTTACTTCCCATGTGTGCCATTGAAAATAGAAAAACACTGTACAAAGTCTGGGAAAAATTTGAATTTCCTCTTTTTTGTGATTTCCCAGTTGCATGCCTGTGTATTAACTTAATGGCCCTTTTCCCCAGTTATGATAGTCACTCAGCATCACAATGCCCTTAACCTCAACCCTGCTCAATCCAACAGGATGATCCAGTCGTCTTTTTTACATTACCCGCTGGGTCCTGTTGAATTGAGCAGTACAACCCCTTGTGTATATTCCTATTGAAATCTGTTGGATCCAGCAGCCAACAGAAAAATAAGGAACAGTTGGCCATGATGACATTACACCTGCTGTTTATTGGAGTAAGCATTGTGATTTGCCCATTTGACACAATGGACTCTTCAGTATTGGCCACAAGCGTACTGCGAAGTTATGCACATGAGTTGTGCATTGACCTCGTTCAGTGCAAGGGTGGTGCACTAAAAGGCATCCCAAAGGTCTTTTTTTTTTAACCTTTTTCAGATACATGTAGGTTCCATGATGCAAATAATACAAATAAAGAACGAGATCCAGATAACCTACACCATCCTTGTGCCTCATTTCCTCGGTGTCTTATTCGGCGGCGTAGACAGGATGGTGGTGTAGTCTGCAACTACCCATAGTCAAGGATGAGCTGAAGCTTCATGACACATTAGACGACAAACCCCCGAAACGAGCTGCTAGCTACTGAGTACTACCAGGAATGAAAGGAATGGAGCAACTGCGGGCTTAGAAGGAGGAGCGTAAGGCCACAGCAGACAGTTCCACTACCCCACTAACATCAGCTATCGCTGCAGGAAGGCAGCTGCATGGAGAGCTTCGGGGAAGCCATAGACATCCAATGACTCACTTCCATTCAAGAATCAAACAGCGATGTGAAGGGCCAGCTGATGCCTTCATCGTCAATTGTCAAAGGCAGAAATAAAATTCAAGACGTGTGTGTTGACAGACCTTAGTTGGCAAAAACGTGTACTAGATGGAGATGGAAAGCATCCTCAATCCGAAGGACCTGCTGGACGGTAGAGCCTGCAGGATGAAGAAGAATTAAGCACCAGATGCTGGATGTCATCAATTTGACGGGGCCAGGGTGTTCCGGAGTGTTTTGGCAGCGCAACCTGATTAGGACGAGGAGGCAGATGTGTTCGTCATAATAGAGAACAAGAGCCAGATCTCCTCATAATAGAGAAACAAGAGCCAGAGGGACGACCAACTGCTTTCCACAAAGCAGGGGGCTCCACCTTGAAGACCAAGCCCTATAAGTGTGTAGGAGCCTATCTAGAGTCTGCCCCTGAGGATGAGCCTGCCAATGCCCCCTCCAAATTCCGCCCCTGGGGATGATATGTAACCTGCAATGATCCAGGTGAGCTCTCAGTACAGGTCTGCCTAAAAGCGGCATATCGGAGCGGCGGGCAGCCGTGCCAACCCGAATCACGTACCTGCCGAGGTCTGCTGTCCTATCTGTAGGTGTCCGTTGCACCCGTTTGAGCACTGAGTGTCCACCCAGAAGTTCTTCAACATCAGCCAGACACGGCTGTTGCTAGTGCAGATGGCTTGCTGGCCGGTGTCCAGCCGAGATGATTTTTGTTGCACATAGCATGTATTGAATTCCAGAAAATACGTAACAGCCGATACCTACAAATGCATTTCCAATACGCATGCGCAAGCAATTCCACTGGCAATAACAAAAGAACATTCAGTCACCATGCAGGCACACACTACATGTCCCAGAATCCCTATGATAATTCTCCCCCAGCGCGCTCGACTGCTGAGTGTACACGCAAATTTGTTGGCTCAAGCGTTGCACAATACAAGCTTATCGGACACTATATTTCCGACAGTTCTGCAAAGACAATGTCAGAGCCTAGTAAAACCAAGAATAGGACATTTAGGAAGATCAAATGTAGAGATCTTATGGAGGATCTCCATCCCCTTTGGAGTTCGATGTTCCAGATGCCGTCTCTGTTAATCCGCATCACCCAGCCTCGGTAACTACTATTTTAAGGTGCATGGATTGTGGGAGCCATTCTACCACTACAAGCACCGCAGGCACCAGAGCCGCGTCCCCTGTCAGGTTCATGAAGAGCTGCCACAGATGCACATTGCATCTTCCCAGGCTAAATCACGACCGGTCCTACAAGCACTGCAGGTAAGAGAGCTGCGTACGTTGCGCCATGCTTCTCAGACTCACGATCAGCCGCGACAGATGTGCCTCAATTGCATCTTCCCAAGGCTGAATTTGAACCGGTCCTACAAGCTAGCACCACAGGCTTCATCAAGAAAGCCGCATCCCCTGTCAGGCTCGTAACCAGCCACCACAGATGCACGGACCTCGCACTTTCCAAGGCTTAATTTCAGCCGGTCCTACAAGCTTAGTATAAAGTACCACAGGCTTCATCAAGAGAGCCGCGTCCCCTGTCAGGCTCGTAACCAGCCACCACAGATGCACGGACCTCGCACTTTCCAAGGCTTAATTTCAGCCGGTCCTACAAGCTTAGTATAAAGTACCACAGGCTTCATCAAGAGAGCCGCATCCCCTGTCAGGCTCGTAACCAGCCACCACAGATGCACGGACCTCGCACTTTCCAAGGCTTAATTTCAGCCGGTCCTACAAGCTTAGTATAAAGTACCACAGGCTTCATCAAGAGAGCCGCGTCCCCTGTCAGGCTCGTAACCAGCCACCACAGATGCACGGACCTCGCACTTTCCAAGGCTTAATCTCAACCGGTCCTACAAGCTTAGTATAGCACCACAGGCTTCATCAAGATCGAGCCGCATCCCCTGTCAGGCTCGTAACCAGCCACCACAGATGCACGGACCTCGCATCTTCCAAGGCTGAATCTCAACCGGTCCTACAAAACAAGCTATAGCGCCACACGCTTCAAGAGAGCTGCATCCCCTTTCAGCCAGGCTCGTAACCAGCCACCACAGATGCACCTAGCATCTTCCCAGGCTGAATCACGACCGGTCCTACAAGAACTGCAGGCACCAAGATAGCTGTGTACGTTGCGCCAAGCTTCTCAGATAACCAGCCGCCACAGATGCACCTTGCATCTTCCCAGGCTAAACAACGAACGTTTCAACCTCAAGCCCACCAATCCTGAAGCATATGACAGCATCAGCTATCTTCCAGTGTGTGGCCATATCGGAAATTGCAGGCAGCATGTATGTGGGGAAAAACCCATCCACTTTCACATCATGCTTCCTGCGAGTTGTCCTGCAGCAAAAGATAGGATGCATGGGCAGACAGGTGCTACAAGCAGGTGCTTGATCTGCAGCCCAGAGATCTCATATAGTTACTGACCTACATGTATCCTCCTAGGAGCAAGACTTTCAGCTTACGGTTATGTCTTATATTCCTTCCAAGCTTAGTTGAGACATTTAACTGCTGAGCTCCATGTACGCTGCAAGTCCCCACCCATGAGTGAGGGCATTCCGGTGCTACTCTGCATTTGTAGGTATCGGAGGTGACGCATTTTCTGTTATAGAATCTCCAGGGATTTTCTAATATAATAAGAAAATACTCGCGCCTCTGATAGCAAAAACACTCACAAAAATTTGATTAAAAAAAAGGGGAGAAGATTCTGGGACTGTCATACATGTACAGTGTGTGTGCGCAATGTTCTTTTGCTGTTTCAGCGGAATTGCTTGCGCATGCGCATTGGACATGCATTTGTAGGTAACGGTATCAGAGGTCACTCAATCATTAGATTAGAATTAGAATTAGGGAGATTCATTTTTATTTTTGATTTTCCTTTTATTTGTATTAAGCCTTATGTTTGTTTTATTATCATGTACATCAAAGTATATATGTATAAGGTTGTCGAGACATGTAGGCCGGTGAGTCAATATGTGACAGACATTTATAACCCCTGCACAGCGCCCTCACTTGACATTCATGTCTTTGTTATCAACATGTATCAAGTGCATCATCATGCCACATAACTAGTACAGTCAACATCATTGCAACTTTTTTTAACGTTCTCCTCAAAAGTGTGTACCTTTACTAACTTTTGATTAAGGAGTCTTCTCAGTTTATGGCCACCATATAATAGCTCTACGTTGGCTTGGTTTGGTTTTTACCTTGGGTTCAATGATGCAGTAACTCCAAAAAAAAATGAGACCTTAATTTGCTGTGACACTATCCTTGTCCTGCCTCCTTTTCTTAATGTCGAGTACGAGATTGAGTTCGAGTAGGTGGTCACAGTGGGAGAGGGCGCTGCATTTTCTACGAAATGGAGTGTCATGGCCTAGCGGTTAAATTACTGAGCACCGGACTCATGTTCTGGTGTTTCAGAGGCAACAGTGACGTGGGTTCGAGCCCGCCGGCAGTGTGCTCTTAAGCAAGGCACTTAACCATTATTGCTTCGTCCTTCGGATGGGACGTAAAGCCGTAGGTCAGCTTTAAACACTGCCTGCAATAGTCAACAGATGTACGTGTGTTCAGGCCCCCACTCCCACAGCGCGTTTTCGACATAGATGGGATTTACATTTGCACTTGCTAATTACATCCACGGAATTCTGTATACAGACCATGTGACATTTGTTTACAAATTCTATGCAGTGGTAATGTAAGCAAAATGTTCTCTTCTGCACGTATTGCATGTGTATCTCTTGAAATGTGATTGGTGTAAAAATCGTGACGTGGGCAAAGCGCAAACTAACATGCAAAAGGTGCTTAAATTTTTGGGTTGCCCGTCTGTTGCCCATTGGTTGCCCTTTGGTATGATATTACAGGGCACAAGGTCGGTATATAAACTGAAATGTGACAATTCACAACAAAATGGGAAAAATGCAATGGAAAAGATTTCGCAATTGAACAAAAAAAAGTGAGAAATCTAGGTTGAAGGTACTAATTAATGGCCCGTCTGTCAATTGTTTGTTCAAGTGTGGCTTGAAAATTTGGTTTCAGAACTCACCAAGCAGAACACTCTAAGCTTTGCTTGTAACATAATTTATTCACCAAAAGCCCTCCACCTTCTTAAAAATTGAATTATGTAATTGGAGATACATATAAATTAACTAAGACTCTGCAACCATGACCTACGAATACCATGGTTCATCAGTTAGCCTTGACTGGAGTCATCACACCTTCATGATCTAGTAAATGAACCACTGGAAGTAAACGAATCCAGGAGATGAAGGTATGTCTGCCACAAAACTGATTGGTCTCCATATGAGACGGTCTTTGAATTTTTGTACATGGTTGATTAATATTTAAGGGGCATGGCATTTGTTGTTCCTTCGCCTTCTTGGATCCGTTTAAGTGTGGCACTAAGATCAGGTTGGTATTTGGTTGCAGGTAATACATCTTTAATAAATTCGAATCTGAAAAGCATGCATCTTGAAAACTAAATCCTAATCTTGAAAACTAATCCTAAAAAGTTAAAAATTGAATTTGAAACCATTGATAAACCCCGTCACCATAAAACATGATTTCATTTTGAATACATTGTTGTGTCATTTTCCGTTCCAATCCATTATTATGTTCAACATTTTGAAAAGGTTACCCAAAACATCTACGTTGATTTGCACATCAACTGAAAGAAAATTGTATTTATGTACGTACTTGAAAACATTTATATTCTTTAAATGGTACAAACATAACTATACTCCTATGGTAGTTCGGATAGTGGTTGTCTTCAGTAATGATAATTTGTGTTTTATTTTTTTAGGTTTTGTGCGTTAAGTTGCAGTGCTTCTATGACATTTGGAACTTTTTTAATGCATCCGGTATATGTGTTTTAACCTTTTTTTGAAAAGAAACAAGTTCAATTTCTTTTACGTTCTTCTCATTAGACGTTGACTAATACCTGACTTTTATTTATGTGTGTTCACGTTTTTTTCCTATTTTTGCTGTGGCTGTGTATCATATCTGAGTCAAGAAGGAAAACGTTTGCGAACGAAGAGCGACAGCACAAAGGTCATATGACATGTATTATACAGCATCAACGCGATATTATGGGGTTTCATTAGTCTTAGTCCTACACTACATTTGGATTTTGTTCCCCAAATGCAGCCGGTGTGAATCCCCTGCGGCGATAGAGGGCGCCATTAACAAGACAAATAAAAATATAGTCCACTGGGAGCTTTGGCACTCGGACTCTAAAAATTCCGAGTAAACCTTACTCGCGAATAAGCTTGATTCAGCGCGTTTTTTTGGTTTCAATCGAGCGCCAATGTTCCCCAAAATGGATTTAGTTTTTATTGTTTAGAGCACCCTAACTGCATTATGGAAACAAAATTCCAAATCTAGTCTCAGACCAAGACTAATACGAGGAGGCCCATTCTACAGAGGGCCGCAGCAAGCAAGTCTGAATTCCGTTTCGTCCAGCAGGCCACGATGTTTGGTCTCAATTACGTCCATATAGCATTGCTCTTCAGCCTTGCCCTTGCACTGAGGGCCCGCCATCTTAAACAGGCGACCAGGCTGCTTAAAGAATGTCCAGTCTACGACCAGGTGCCCGAGACGAAAGGCTTCATGGAGCTCTTCTAGGTTGCACGGATGGACGCCCCTGCCGAGATCCGAACACTTCGATGCCATGCCAGCTCCATCGATCTCAACACCTAAGTCAAGGTGTATCTCATCAGTGGTGAGATAAGACAGGCGTCCACAGCAGAATTGCTTGTAGCTCCTACCTTGCCTAATATTCTTGCCGTTTGGTAGCCAATTGGCGTTGAACTTCGGTTTTACGACCTGACCGAACCTGTCGAACCAGCCGCGGACAGTGGGCAGCAGCTCCTCATCGTTCTTGACTAAGCGCTCCAGGTACTTCCAGCTGCAGGGCTTGGCCATCCGGGCCCAGCAGGCATCGGAGCCTAGGTCGGCTGTCGCGTATTTATCGGGGCTCAGTGCAGCGTTTTCCATCAGAGGACAGCAGGCCGTTCTCGCTACTTCAGTGTCGCCCGCGGACTCCTTAAGCTGGATAAGGTTATCATCTGTGTATGTGCAATGTTGATCGTCTGGCATGACCCCTTCATCGCAGGTGCCAATTTTCGCCTGTTTTTCGTAACCAACATACCAGAACCACTCGTCAGACGAAAAGCCGGCGCGATAAGCAGCCAGTAGCTGAATAGTGGTGCAGTATTGCATGATACAATCGGAACAGTCGCTGTCACTTTCGGTGGTTTGCGCTCTGAACGCAATTGGAATGTCTAAGATCATACCAAAAGGGATACAGAAAAAAAAGTAGATTAGCCCTCTTCAATAAATATATGGTCACTTTTTCCTCCAAGTCCGTTTTATATTAAGTTTGGATATAACCCGGTTGACAAGCGTGGCTCTTACCAGTTCTGCATGGTAAAGTAATAGGAGCTTTTATGCAGTCATGCCTCTTTTAATCATACCCTAATAATGGTGGCACTGCACGGCTCAACATCAGTGAAAAGTGAATCCAGGAGAACCGTTTGAAATGTTTTAGACAAATGCTACTGTTTGTTTTAAGGTACATTGTAAAAAAATGACATTTAGAGTATAAAAACATTTTTAAAACACGTTTTTTAAAACACGTATCTTGTACCCACTTTTTTGCACATGCTAGCCCACGACATGTTTAGACTTTGCAAATAGATGTTTAAATTTTGACACGTTTAAACGACTTTCGAACAATGTCGGATGTACGTTATAGATTTCAAGAAAGTAACTGCTTATTTACAGAATTTAACGGGAACTTACTTATTTCACATTACTTTAAGCAGAATGTACGACTGCTTCGATAGGCCTATACTATACTAATGTTATGGTTGAGCTTTATATTCAGCTTTTCCCGCATGATGAAGTCACGGTTTCACCGTGAATAATTTCAATGTTTAAATGCGAACAGAGTTTTAATGCAATTTTCACTTTTGTTTGCAAAACTGGAAATTTGATCAAGGATTTGTTTGAATTATTACACATTACAGTCAAGAAAGAGCGTTTCTGGACAAAACACCACAATTTAACATGACTTTTGTGAACACGAATGCGTGCGTTCTGATTGGTCAGTTGCTGCGTTATGCGATTCTCTGTACATGAACAAGTCTCTCCATAAACATGTTCATGTTTGTGGCACGGAATGGGTACGTGTTTAGCATTTTATACACTCCTCTAACCGCATTCAGTGCAAATAAGTAAATATTGTGTCGAAAAGCTAAGCACGTTTAGTTTCGTGACGTTAGCAAGGAAAAGCTTTCAGCATTTAATCACATTGCTTAACGCATTTAACTGTAAACACGTTTTAAACGTATTTAGAAAACATAAACATCATTTTTACAGTGTACTTAATTTTTTTCATGGGTTTTGTATCATCGTCAAGTTTATCAGACTCTAGAAAAAGTTAGGTGTATTTAGTTCTTGCCCCCGTTTTTTCCCGTTTTACCCAAAAAAGAGAAGCTGTATTACTAATGCAGGTGTACTTTGGGATTTTTCTTGGTATACATGAGGTGTCTTTTATCGGGAGTTGTATTGGTATTTTGAAATTATTGTAGTGTGTGTGGTTTAACCTTTTTACCCTGGTAATTGTCTGGTTATTGTACCCTGAATAGGGTATGTAAAAGGACCAATAACCTGTTTTTTGTGTGTATAATCTTAGTATTTGTGTATATCTGAGTATTTTTTTTTTTTTAATGGCATTTGATTTTTTTTTATATCAATGGCGTGTCCAAATGAAATGCATCAACGTTGTCTCAAAATCGAACAGGAGAGATCAAATGCCTTGAACAGATTATTTAAAATATGTACATGTAAAGAAAAATAAATATCCTGCAGGTTTGGTTTCCATGTCAGAACATTTGCGCTTACCTTTGCCATTGACTTTCTCAAAGGAGCAGTCTTCTCCCACTGCACCCACTATGAGCATTCCCATCAAAATCAAAAGTGCCATCATCTATTGGTATAAACAAAGTTAAGACGTTGCTAGCTTGTTGGTAAACTTCCACCGATTTTGAAGACAATTGAAACCGTTTGAAGTCGGAACAGTTTGAAGTTCAGGGTCTCATGAAACCGAAATTCTAAGACCGGCGATGGTATACTGACAAACAGCTTTCAGTCAAACCGAATACCATAGAATCTCCCTCAAGTCTTTTGTCCACATTCAGAAGTAAATAACCAATTATAATAACCACCCATATTTCAAGTTATTTTATGCAATTGGATTAGAACAGTTGACTTACAGATGGCCAAAATTGACCACAACGTCCAAACTTGTAAATGACATACTCTGGCTGAAAGTGGCTGGTATATTTTAACTCCTTGATGAGGCATACTCTAAGTTTGTTTTTTAAACTGAAATGGAGAAAGTATTGTAGAATACCTCTGCAGAAAGGATCTATTAAAGCGCAACGTAGCATCACCAATAATCAGTCGAGTACGTATACGCCTACACTGTTTGAACCCAGATACAGAGTCATGATGATTTTGTGCTCTAAAAATATTCGTGGCCGAAATTTGTTTAATAAATCGCCTGTAACTTTATTGAAAAGAAAATAAACCTCTGTATTAATTATACATTTTGTGGTGTTTCTAGTGAACCACTTTTAACAGTCTGGTATAGAACTAATATACTTATTTATCTTACACTGCTATTTGTGAAGTGTATCTTTATGACCTTTATGCTAAGATATAGCAGGAATACTGACGAGTTGAAACAAAACAGAAATATCTTTCTCTGGACTTCGCCAATTTATTGACCATCGCTTTGTAGTTATAGTTGGCAGTTTGATCCATAACCAAAATAATGTCCCAGAGAAAATACCCAGTTGCTCTTGGAAAACAATGACATTCAAACATTGAGCCTAATTTAGGTTGAAGATAACAAGATTGCAACATACCTTATTCAAAGTTCTCCTGTCTGATCTTTTGGAGAGCGAGCTATCTTACTGCGTACTCGTTGGACTGATGAAATTGGGATCATGTACAGTAAATAAAAACTCTGCGCAATGGCATTTTATGGACTCTAACTAGTTGCCTCAGGCGATATGTAAATTTTGTTGTCGGAACGTTAATTGCCCTTTACGAGCGTAGAAATATTATAAAAAAAAATTATTGAAAAGGCACCCTGACTAATCTATACAACCGGGCAATTGTTCAGTAGGGCTATAAACTATGAAATTCGTATACAGTGGGCTTTTGTTTTACGACGATTGTCGTATAAGCATTTACGAGCCTGTTTACCATTACAGTCGTAGATTTTATGAGCCATTTTTTTATTGGAGTAGTAAGTTACCGAACTCTATCAACGCACACGTATGCAACTTGTCATCAGTATAATGGACGCAAGTTGAGGGGCGTTTTTTAAACTTGCTGAATTTTTAGTTCTAACTTGTTATTGCCAATAAAACGATCAAGTTGTTGCTAAAGTATTATAAAGTTTGTCCATTACTGGTACAGATATCAAAAAAATATTACCAACACCATGTCGGTGACTAAGTTTTATTTACACCTAGCCTAATCATCGGATTCGTTAAGGTGCCTGTGCGTCCTAATACAGTGCATAACAACTTTGAAAAACTAGCAGATGTCTCCAAATAAAACTTGTGTAAAACAATAAATACGTTAAGAATAAATCGAACATGTTAGTGGCCTCACAATTGAACTCCTAGGCCTAACGGTATAATCTCTACAACAAAATCCGCTAGTGTAATAAGGTAAGGCCCTCAGCTGTATAAACCATGTAACGTGGAATCAATTCAAGAAGCCTTGAAAAGTATGAGGAACCAACAATGTTACGTAGACGTTTGACCCGAATTAGGGTTTGATCCAAAGTATAACTTAAGAGACCACCACTGAAAAGTAGGCCGCATGACAAAGCATGTAGTATATGAAATGTCTCTTTGAAACTGGTCAAGAATTCGTAATTGGGATGAGTGTGGCGTAGGTTCACCACAGACTATTTCTCATCATGGGATTCCAGATGACTGTACACGTTGTCGCTCACAGCGCCCTCTGTAGTTTGTGTTTGTCCAGGTCGGCTGAAGTGATCGTATGCGGGTTGTGGATCCAAATGAGCGTAGTTCGAACGCTCGGAAGACTCGTGCGCATGCTCGCCGTGCGATCGATTGATGTGATCGTAAGCCCTAGTTTTGCTGACTCCTGGGTTCGAGGTTGTCTCTTGAGCTTTAGAATCTGAAGTTTCGTCGTCATGGTTACCAAATGGTGGTTCTAAGGTGAAATAGTTGTGGCCGTGTTGTGGTACCGTTACGTACTCGTTGCGATGTTGGGACTCCGTATCTGGACTGTATTTTCCATTAAGTGGTGGTTCCGGTTCCAAAACAAAATACTGATGTCGTTCAGAGGCCTTCGTACCCGCTTCTTCTATAGGCGGAGCCGATGGCATGACCTGCTCTCCATCACTGGCTGCGCGGCCATGCCCCCGACCGGGGGTACCACGTTCAACATTTTCACGGGACAACTTCTGAATTTCAGTGTCATTCAAAGGATAAAGGGAAATGCCGTATGTAGGGTTGCTTTGCTCATTTGAGACCGATTGTCCAAGATTGGATGCATTTAGGGGGGCCGTTGGCTGTAGTTCCGAGGGTCTGTTGTTGCTCTCTGAAGGGTTAAGAATATGATACAGGAATGTAACATAGGAAAGTGAGCTTCTAGTTTCATAAATTGAAACTGTTTGTGTGCGACATGCGCAATTGCAGCAACAGACAACAAGTATTTTAACTTCAGGATACGAGGATAAAGCCTGCATGCAAAGATTTGCAATATAGAAGTATAAACGAACCTTTAAGAATGCTTTTCTAAAGATGAGTAGTTAGTGTGGTAAGGTGGGTTTTTATAGTGGTTTTCTTCACTAAAGTTACCTTTTTGTCTCCTCCCATCAGTGGTGGCATTGTTTCCACTAAAGAAAAGAAATACAGTTTATACCATAACATTATTTTCAATTACTTGACAGTTTGACTATACCAACGGTGTTTCTGGCAGTGGCCGCAGCACCTTGTAAACCCTGGTGCCACACCTCCAGTTTAAATGAAATATTTCGGAGGACCACCAATCAAGTACCAAGAACATTTTGACTATACCAACTTACTGCAGAGGAATGACATTTTGGAATACGTACGGTACGTATAGAGCATGTGCAAAATCCATGCTGAAATCTTCCGTAAAACAAAGTGTGAAAACAATAAATAGTTGTAATGTGAATACCAGGCCTGACTCATTCTCGGTCTCAAATCTGAATTGGTTGGGCTAAAGTCGGCTTGCATCAACGATATCGTAGAGATTTTAAACAGAGTATTTGGATTTTTGGCCTATATTTTCACATTTTTGTGGGACAGAATACAGAAACCTCGAAGTGCTTACTTTTCAATATTATGTGTCTGCTTTTGACTGCTGAAGATTGCTGAGGTATAAAATTTTACTTGTGTAATTGATACTACGTGACTTTCGAAAGTTCAGCTGTTGCCTCTAATGAAATGTGTGTATAGTGCATGTTTGCTTAAATTTAGAAGGAGAAAACCTTACATTTAGAGAAAAAAACTAGAACTATGTCTGTTCGATGAACAGAACATAGGGCTTTTTCCCATAACGCTATTTTTGTATGAGTTTATGTCTGGTATATAGCCGGATTCCCTATTATCGCGGCATGGGCAATTTCTCTTTTTTGCGTTGCCAAAACTTCTTCAAGTGGCGATTTTTATCCAGTTCACCAGTCATTTAGGACTTTTTGCCGAGTTGTATAAAAAAAGGATTACAAAATGTTGTGTCTTTCGGGGTTTTTAACGATTTTTAATAAATAATAACGTTTTCCAAAACTTGCAAATATTCCCTCACCGTGTCTGCCAAAAGGTACCGTCTATATTCTAAAAAATCTTTAAATGGTGCTCTGTCCATGAAAGTTCCATTGTCTGGTTCTCATTCTTCAGCTGTAAATGTAAAATGAAGTCGAACGACGATATTTGCACCGCGAAATCGTAAAAACTTTTACGGGATCAAAATAAGCACAGCGCGTTAACAAAAATAAAACGGCACACCGTGTAAAGTGAATGGCGCCCCCAATCGCCAAACAGTAGACTTGCCTCAGTGATTTGTGTTCTCCTCTCGGGGGAAGGGCAGGGTCTTAAGAAATCATCCTGCAGACATATACATGAAGTCTTTAATCAACTTGAACGTTACGAGGGAAAAATCAGACTTTAATCAGGGGATGTTTTGGTCAAACATTAACTATGAATAAAAAAGTTGAGATCATTATAAAAAAACACTTCCCGCATACCGCGATAATAGGGACTCTCCGAGCATGTCTATTTTCACAGGCATCGTACACGGGATAAACCGCACCACCGTCGGATTTTTTTTATATCAATTTGAAAAGGAAGAGTTGTACATCACAAAAAGACAGGACAATTTGGGAAGGTTAGTGGGCAATCTCTATTCCGAACGAGAAACGTGATAAGTACCGCCATAATAGGGCAACCCATCCTAAGTTATGCAAGAACATAGTTCCACTACTAATTTCTCCCGATAAAGGACTTTTAAATATGCACCTTTAAGATAACGTCTCATGACTCATGAGGACGTTATAATGAAAGCCAATAATCTTAGTATTTTAATTTTAAAAAGGACTCACTTGGGTCGCCTTTTGCACATCAGCTTGCTTTTCGGGCAAAAGCAAATCACAGCAAGGAATGCAGTCACAAACACTATGGCCAGGATACTGCCAATAACCAATGCCCGGGTGCTGACCTGCCCCGAAGGCGGCTGTTTGGTAGACAATTCACTTCGCCGGTCGCTACAACTGTCAACAAAAACAAAATCGGTTAAACATAATGCAAACTGCTTTTGCAAGACCGAGTGGGCATGTGTTCGAAAAGAAACTGACTTGCCACTTTTTGCCAGGCCCTTCAAGACAAGTCTCCAAGGTAAATTTTGCCTAAGGCTGGTCCTTACTCTTAAAGCTTTGGTCGCTCAAAGGTTTAATAACAGATATTTGAGCGTGACCTGTTCGGGGATGTCTTTGAACTCTTATTTGTTTTGGGTTGCTTCTTGGAAAAAAAAAATTGTTGGCTGATTCTATCGATAAATCCCAGGCCCGAAGGGCCTCTGAACGTGACTGGATAATTTAAAATGAAAGAGAAAAACTCAGAAAATGACAAACTGTTTTGAATGGAGATGTTTTTTATTCCTAAGAGGGAAAAAGGTTCATCATCATTATTTTGACCTATAAATCAACCCTATATACCTTTCGAAAATGTGCACAGTACAGGGAACACAATTAAATCCTCCTTTACAATATCAATACCATTGCAGATTGAGTATCTTCGCTCGTAAAAGGTTTTCAAAATAGAGACAATGTGTCCTGCTTATAAGGACATAAAATCGATGACAATATCCCGAGTTTAACCTGCATTACAAAATTACACAGAGATCTGATCGAGTCGGCATTTTAGCTACCTTTTGTCCACAACGATTCCCGGTATACCCTCGCAAATGCAGAAGACTTTGTTCGACTCGGTGGTGTTGAACACGCAGATGTCGTCGTCATTGTCGAACTCGCACTCCGTCACATAGGCATCGGTGAAACGGCAAATGTCGCACTGTTCATCTTCACACAGAGATCCTGCTCACCAAAAAATATTTACCGCCATTTAAGATATTAATTTTAGACATTGAAAACAACGTCATCATTTTCATGATCCGTTTTGAAAAGGCAACATGAAAGTTCGACTGTCTCCCCCAACAACAAAAAATACACCTGTCAATAAACAAGTTTGTGTAATACTCGTGAAAACAAAGAGAGCACAGAAATCAACGATAAAAATCACTTTTTAAATGCACAACAATCTGTTTGGTTTTCTTGCCGGGAATATTATGTTTATCGCGATCCAGTAGAGTTAAATCTTTATGGACTCTTGAGAAAGTTATTTTCTTTGTGGACTGGCTGGTGAACATCGGTCAACTTTCCTTGCGAATTCTTTTCATGCAGAGTTTACAGTGCACCAGGACGAGGGGATAATGCTTGATTAAGGAAGTGTTGTGTAGTTAGTGTAGGGGGTGCAGTTATTAAGGCTTCAATGCTGTTCAAAGTAATACGTGCGATTTGATTATGTACACACATGGAGGATCTTCCTCCATGGTACAAACAAGCATGGGACTGTACGGTGTCCTGGAAAGGGCATTATTGTAATGCACTGCTTATTACTCATAAATCCCCTGGTACAAAATGTGTAGCAATTATGAATATTTTATCCGGTAAAATAAATAGAATAATTTGTGTATGCTTATGTTTAAAGGCGTCGTTTTTGTAATTTAGTTAACAGGTCTTTTCTTTTTGCTCATGCTGAGGAAGAATAGTAAACATTTATATCAGGATTAGTTTGGAGAACCCCAATCAAGAACACCAACGACTTATTCCCAATCATCAATGATGAATCTCACTAATACGGGTTACTGGTCTTTCATGGCAATGCGGCATGTAGTCCTTCAGCCCGCCACAGGCAAACATCGTGATTAGCAGTTTTGCAAGTGGGTGTATATTTGTCATTGATATCTGGTAGGATGAACCTTATGGTGAAATTGTACGCGCAATCGTTTCTGACCTCCTGTTGGTGCTATGCTGTTAATTTTGGCTAGTGTTCTTCCTGTACACACTGCTGATTTAATATGAATGTTTGGCCTTTAAGTTTAACCATCCTTGATGGACTCTCATTCAACAACGTTTTTCACTTGTACTGAAAACTTTAAAAGATTTTGTTTTTCACAGCACCGAGGCTTGTGGGTCTTATGCATAACATATATTGGTGAGTCAGGCAAAGATTTAAAAAAGCTTGAGGAGAGCTGCATAATTGAAGCGTTCCAAACTACTCACCGTAGTCACTGCACGACTCTTCATGACATTCCGCATCCACGGTGTCTTCCCCACGCTTAATGGGCTGGCAGATCTGCTGACAGAATGGACATCTCCTTGAATTGCTTGGGTTGCATGGTTCGAACGAATCGTTACAGCTAAAGAGAAAAATACTCGAGTTGTGATATTTTCCTGTACTGTACCAGTCTATATGATTGGATGAAGGATTGCGCCCAGAGAGGATCGAGGTGCTTATGTTCATGAGCAAGAGAATCTACCTCAATTTGCTGTTACAGTTTGAAGAGATGAGAGCTTTCTGACAAAGGACGGCGAAATTGGGCGTTGAGTTGATGCATTTCGTTGACAATGATATTATAACAAGTGCCTTGTTTTAAAGAACTATATATTAACCCTCCCATGCAAACACAAATTCTGTGCAAAGTTGTCATTTTAGTCAAAATCAATCAAAAGACTGTTTTCAACAGTTAAGAGCTCCCGGACTACATAAAGCAGGATTGATTGGCTGTGACTTTTTAACTTGACTGCATATATGCTTTGACTGGAGGTGATTGATTAGCCAGCTGTGCCTACTTCTTGCCTTGAACTAGTCACTGTACTTGCGTGAAGTATGATCCGACTATTGGTGATCAGCCTGAGTAAAAAGCACGGCATGGCAGGGGAAGAGGATTGCTTTTTCGACTGTCTGTGACTAGCCATATGTTAGGGTTGCTTTTAGTATTAAACGTTGGTATCGTTCAAATAACTGAACCAGGTGGGAAGCTGTAAGCCGGTGTAAACAAAACAGATGGAAACGTTTCAATAAGCATGTATACATTTTTTGAGACAACCAAACAGTTTCCGTCTTAATGTGAGAGTTTCACCACAGATTTTGCTCATCGGATGGAACGAATGTTTAGAACGGAGCAATAACACACATAATCGATACAAACAGAATGTCAGTTTGTCTTAATTAATGTTGAGGGTAATTTAAAATTAATGTAATTGTAAACATGTACCTGTCACAGAAGTATCTCTGTAAATCGGATATCTTCGAGAGTAGTTCATCGGGAAGTGACTCAACGTCACCTGTGGAAGATCCCCACTGAAATGCACTGCCGAGAAATAGCACCAGAAACACAGTGCGGGGCTGGACGAGTTGACGGGGTAGTTCCATCTTAAACTGACTTCCGTCAATTTTGTTGGATGAAGTTCTCAGAGCAATACGCCAAATCAAAGGCCGTGTTCATGGACTTGCTTGCTTAAATGTTGTAGACCTAAGCCCAACAATCCTTTGCAATCTGTCTGCACAGGGCTGGGTTTGTGTCTCTTTAAACAAGCGAAGTTATCAACAAATCTGTATAGGCCTAATTCAGTATTGACGGCAGTTGAGGCTCTTATGTTTAGGACGTGTTGTACACGAATATTCACCTCACCGATCAGTTGAATTTCATGATGTCTCTTTACACTGTCCGGGCAATAATGTAACAAAATATGACATCCGTTTATTCACTAGCAGCTGATCCTTGTAATAAGGATGGTCCCAGTCTGTTTGACTATAGAGTAGTTTACGTCAGTACCAGAAGTGAAGCTGCAGTTGTTCAGTATAGTACCAGTCCAACATTTGCAGGATTGCGGTCCTTCTCCTGATGAGTAGACGGCACTGTCATTTAACTTCCTTTTCCCGATGTGTCGAGTCACCTTTCCGCACTTTGGTGAAGACGATTACGTACGTAATAAAAATAACAATGTACAAAGGAAGAATTAAACAAAATCTCTTTACACGCAAAGCTTATTATAACCCTACCCTTACAACCCGGAAATGGTGTCCAAGGACGGAGCTGAATTACAGTCTTCCTTCCTTGAGGCTTTTCAATAGCAGGTTGTAATGCAAAGTCACCCATAGTATTCTTTAAAGGCAGGGCTGACGACTATAGAAAGTCACACACACGTACCTTTAAGTAAATAAATACCTTCTCATCCGGTTGTGTATTTCGCTTAGGGGTCGTTCAGACACCGTTTTAAATTTCCTTAAAACATTGCTTGAACTCGATTCAGTGTAACTTTCTCGCTAAAACGATGTCTGAACGCTTTTTTATTTAGACCGAATCGAGTTCAACTCGAAGATAAAACGGCAACTTAAACCCCTCGGAGGGAGGGTTTAGCGAATAACCAGAACGAGTTTATCTCCTAGTAGTACGATGTCTGAACGGTGTTAGCTACATACATTTGTAATCAGGAAGGCTTTTTTTCTTCAAGATATCTCCCCCCCCCCCGGTCTTAATACCCAGAGAGCACTGCACTATTAAATCAGACACAAAATATGTCATTAATGGTATTACTGAAAGCCATGTTTATTATAAGTTCGGAAAGACTGAAACCATCGGCTTTATTTTATACAACATTCCACACAAAGGGTAGTTCGTAACAGTGTGTACCCTTTCATGATACTTAAAATATGGCCTCAGTTTACTTACTGATTAATGGTATTGAAGTGTTGGTTTCAATTTTAATTAATTTTAATTAAATGCAATATGGTGAACGGCTCTGTGTAAGTGACAATAATGGCATCAACACAGTTATGTATTTGATGAAATATTAAATGAAACCCAAACAAAATTGTTTGCAAACGTTCCAAACACAATGATTTAACACTGAGTTGTGATTGTACTATCAGCTATTGACTTTGTTTCTCGAGTACATTAATGACTGTAAAGTTTTCGTAGAGATTACAATTTTTTTACAGAGATTACGATTTGTCATAACAATCGTTCGCATCGCCTGCAACGCCCTCCCTCTATACATTCTGACCAGGCCGTTTGATGTGATCATACCCAGTGACCTGGCTCAAAGGGGCGTCTTCAGAATGTCCGGGTTCTGATCGCCTGATGTGATCGTAGGACACGTCTGCACTGGCCCTTGGTCTCGAGGTTGCGCCATCTGTCGCATTCACGTTTTCCCCATAATCATTCCCGTGTTGGGAGTCGTCCTTCTCCAACACGAAATAGTCATGATTGTTTGGTTCCTCGGGGGACCCTGCTTGGTCGTCTGTCTCCACTTGTTCACCATCCCGTTCCAAGACAAAATAATGATGGTCGGCAGGGGCCTCCGTATCAATGGGCGGAGCTGAAGGTCTAACATGGTCGTCCTGTGCATGACGTTTACGCCCCTCCACGGGGGTGCCACCTTCGTCCCGTATTTTGGAGTAGTAATGGTCTTGATTTAAATCCAAAGACGTGGAGTACGTGGGGTTCAATAAGCCTGGTGAGTCTGGCTTTTGATCAGCGTTTGTCCCGAGTTCTCGTGGTTGCAACTTCAGAGGGTGGTCTTTATCTAGGTGATTAAACAATGCGGCACAGTTGACAAATTAAAGTACATGTGTAACTAAATTGTTACACATGTTGAAGGAGTTTTATAATAACATCAATTTTTTTTCTTAAATAAAATAAACCATAATAATTTTAGCTGTTGTCACTCGGTGGATACATGTATGAAGATATGCCTAAATAATTAAATCCTGACCAAAAATCTCCCCACCCATGCTGAATTTGACTTGAAGCTCTTTGATGGAACTTTCAGACTAACGTGCGTTTGGAGAAAAACTAATGAAATGGTAAGACGTAATTGCCAGTCGCCCCTTTCAAAACTGAGTAAAAATTGTTTCATGACCCACCTTTTGAATTCGTTCCGTCATGTGCGTCACCAGCAGCATTTCTGTTGTACAAAAAAAACGAAACAAATACGTAAAAATGCAACATGGATACAATAATAATAATAATATTATTAATAATAAACCATTCTTATAAAGCGCATTTTACACGGGGTCCCAATAAGCTGAACAATTATTATACAATGGAATGGATTACAATAGTATTCAACGTTTTCTCATTAGGCATTCAGATGATTATACATCCCATGACCAATGATGTCATCTCTATCATCATTTGTCAGAATTCTAATAGGTAATTATCTCGACTTCTAGTGCCTAAACAATCTCTTTCAATCATTCAAATAACAATGTTACATTCGTTTGAAGGCAGACTCGTGAGAAGTGTGTGACGTGATCATGTCGTCATTATGACGTAAAAAAGGCGATTTTGTTATGTACCGTGTAAGATAATGCTCGATCGTCGTGAAACTATTTGAGTATATATGTAATGTTGGACCATTCTGGATGTATAGCCGTAAGTCGCAGCCACATTGACGTGTTGTTTTGTATGTTGGTTTTGTTTTTTCAGTTGTTGCAAACAAGGTCATCCATACTTTCGTGGTAAACTTGATATAAATGTACTTGGACACTGTGCAAAGTTTGATTGACAGGCATGCAGGAAGGGCTTATTCCTTGTAGGTAATTAATACCAATACAATATTATTCACTTGTAGCTTTCTGAGTAGGATTGTGTAGGAATATTTGACTCACTGGCTTCTCCTTAGGAGGGTCAGTTTCTTTGTCCAGCACAGCCAGAATATGATCAGTAGAACCAACAGCAGAACAGCCGAAAGGACGGACCCGATGATTATCGCCTCCACGTTGGTCTGTGATGAGGGCAGTGTTGCCTCTGGTGGGCTCGACGTTGTCGGTTTACGTGTCTGCTGTGTTGGTGCTGATGTCGTGTCGCTACACCTGATGAAAAGGGAAGTTCGTAAGACTGAGTCCCGTTCCAATTCCAACAAATCAATGAACCCAAGTCTGCGCCCTTAAAGATACAGAAATACAGTTCGCATACAACTTTGATTGAAGGAAATTGTCTACTTTGAAACATGGCGTAGAGGTTTAAATTTATAACCTACTTTATAACCCTACAATTTCCATCGATTTCATTGATATTATGGCACGCAAGTTCATGCATACGTCGAATTACTGGCTTATACAAATAGTCCATGAAAAAGGAACACTACCACAGGAAAAGTCTGCCGAAGTTATTAAAGGGACATGAAATTGTACGAGTGATAAACGTGTTGGATGTGAACATGTACCTTAGGCCGCGAGGAACTTCAGACCCATCGCAGACGCAATATATCAGGGGACCGAGTATTGTGTAGTAGTACATGCAGCTGCTTGAGAAGTCCTGATCATAAACACATACGCTGGCATCGTTGTAGGTGCAGTACAGATCCTGGTCCCAGTCGCAATCTGTTAAAAGAAAGTGGTGGACACTTTGTCACAGATCAGAGAGAGTAAAACTTTGAAGAAAATATTTGGGAGAATAGGCTTACAAACGTGCGTCGCGAGGATTTTATTCGAGAGGGGGCAAAGCACATTTCCTTCAAAATCCCTGTTACACCCCCCCCCCCCTCGCGACACCCACGCTTACAAACAGACAGATCGAAAATTTGGAGTAGGTTCAGAAGAGGACATGATTAACCCATTATTCGACTATCTTCGCTCGACCCCATGCGAAGTTGGAAAAAAGTATACTCGACCGTTTTGGACCAGCCTATACGTGGCTGGTTAATACAATAGCCATGCACATAATAATGCACATAGAGATACACTTTCCTAAGAGATACACTTTCCTAATGCGCAGGCGCAAGTGACGCCATTAACCACCAGTCGACATTGCCACGCCCCTATTCTACCCGTACCAAAGTTATTACATCACGCACATAATTATGTGACTGTGTAAAAGACATTAGCGCGTGATTCAGCCCGTGAACCATAGATATAGAATAAAAAGACTAGATCGGCAGCGCGTGCATACTCGGTGCGCATTTCTAGCTTCGCGCGCGTTGAGCTAGGTCACGTGATGGAGGAAAGATACATTTAGCTCCATTACTTTACGTTCATTTGTTGCGCGTCCACGAGAGACAACAAAAATGGCGGAGATTTATCGCACTGTGAATGGGCGCGTGTGGACGCGCTGCCGATCTAGTCTTTGTATTCTATATCTATGCCGTGAACCAACATCCGCGCGTATTCCATTCGTTTGCACTACACTTTCTGGTTCTAAATGACGTCACACTTCGGTACTCTATAGTTTAAGTATAACATCCTCGATTGAACCTTCCTCAGGTCTGAGATATATATGTTACCAATTTACCTCCATTTGATGTTTCTTCAAGTGGTTTCTCACAATATGCGTCATGATCACGGTCTTGTCTGCATAATTTGCATGCAGGCCCTGGCCGACACATATCACTGAGTAATAAAACGGGGGAGGGAATTAATAACCTAGCAAAATTTAAGCAGCTTTACTAAATGTGTTTGTCATACCTCTGTCTTTATACTGTATTTTCATTGGCCCAGGACGATCACCTGACCGGGCGATAAATATGCATGGCACACTCCCGTTGTATATCACATTGTGATATCACATGCATGTAGACTAGTCCCCGCCCCACAGTCCAAACCATTATGCGCGGACCGCGTTTAAACCAGACTATACATGTACTCACTGGTACCCCGCAGTACTTTCACGTTCCACAATATAATGTATAGCAGTGAGGGAGCAGTGCATTTGCAGACGATATTTACTTTAATTTGGCGGCCAGCGACGAGCGGCATTAAGATTATGTTTACGTTTTGACTGACTCTAGTAACGGTGCCTAGGCCTTCAGAACTTCGGAAATGCAGAGCTACCACAGTTAGTTTTTTCGTATACGATCCTCATCAGCCTCAACATGTCAGCTGAGCCCGGAGGCACAGATTCTCCGCCCCCAAAAGAGGTTTTTGAGCAGGTAGTTTTTTCGTAACAAACCAGGTTTTTATTCATTCCCTACTACTATAAAATATGCCAGGGGATAAGATTTTTTTTTATTAAACTTGTAAAACCTTTACCCCAAATTTCCCTGAACTTAAGCTTGTTTTAATGCCCCTACATCTATATATGTTGAAAGAAAATTTTTCAAAGATTCCTTCAGTTTGCCACCCTTAATATCCCTTAGAAAAACAAGTAAAACACATCATCAAGACAGAGGTATGACAAAACAGTTGTTGACTGATGTGATGTGGGATATGACGTTTTGAACACCCTCGGGGACGCGTAGCACCCTCGGCTTCGCCTCGGGCGCTATGCGTCCCTCGGGTGTTCAAAACGTCATATCCCACATCACATCAGTCAACAACTGTTTAATATCACTGGAACGAACTAAAATCGTTGATTTTACTCTCGACACTGTGGAGCAGTGGCGTAGCCACGGGGGGGGGGGGGGGCGTGGGAGGGCGACAGCCCCCCCCCCCATGAAACCTTGTCGCCCCCCACTGAGATTTTGAGTTTCTAAAAAAATTATCATTGATCTACATGACGCCCCCCCCCCCATGAAATGTTCCAGCGCCCCCCCCCCCCCGAAAAAAACCTCCTGGCTACGCCAATGCTGTGGAGGACGACAAAATAAAACGATTACGGGGGTGTGACATCACCCATCAAACAGTGGCGTCACCAGACTTTTCAGTCTGGGGGGGGGGGGGGGCACAGGGGGGGCACCAGCATTTGATGGGGGGGGGGGGCACTTAGGTGGATACGGATCGCCGTCCTGGAGGAGGGGTCTAAGGGGAGGGGGTGCCCCCCTGGAAAATTTTCGCATACGGAGGATGGGCTAGATGCAAAATGGTGCCACATTTGATGCTAAATTCGATCTGAAGATATCTCCAGAAATTGCTATTTTTGAGGTAATGATTTTAACAACGTGCAGAATTTTGCAGAGGATAGGGGGAGGCACCAGCATTTGATGGGGGGGGGGGGCACTCGGGGGGCACTAGGTTTTCCAGGGGGGGGGGGCACGTACCCCCCCCCCCCCCTGGGCCCCCCCCCTGCCCCCCCCCCCCCCCCCTTGGCGACGCCACTGCCATCAAACCCCCTCCTCACAGCGACACTGGTAGGTCCATTTACCGACTGAGGCTACATACTGCCTGAGAAATTATTGGGGCTGTCATGTACCCACCCTACCCCGGCCATGGCCCTGTTGGATCTGTACTTCGAAATATAATGGAAATAAACCTGCAGGGTCGTAGAAGGAAATCTTGAAGTGAAAGCAAGGATGGGTCATACATATATTTATCATTAAAGTGCCTTACCTGTCGCAAAAGTAGTCCCGTATTTCACTCAGGCTTGCATTCAACACACGCGGCAGGGAACGTACTGTGCCTGCACCAGAAGTGCATGGGATTCCTCCGAGGAGCAGGAATACAAGCACGCATCCGGCCGTGATCACGGGTCGGAGCTCGGCAGCCAGTTGCCTCATGTTCGCGGTGTTTGTCGATCTCGGAGTTTATCCTTAATTTCAGTTGTATCTATGTTATGTCGTCCTGTCTTACATCTTCTTTAATGCGTTTCTTTCTTTGAAGGCATTTCTTTCCTTCAAGTGGATTCTGGTGAACTTGATGCAGCAAAAACCACATGCGCGTGCAGAGGTGACTTTATACTTGTACACCTGTGATTTGTCCATTACCAGTTCTTTCCACTGTCCGGATATGCTACTAGTTCAGTCAGGAAATGGTGCTCAAGGTCTTGCACGAATCATTTCCTTGATGTGTATTCAGTGTTGTCCAAGGCACTTAAAAAAAAGTACAATGTCTCATGGTTTGTAAGCGATTTTCCATAATAGGAACTGGGTCATGTTGTGCAAAACGTATTTAGCCCGTCATTCCCCCCCCCCCCACTTTGGCCCCCAAGTTTTCTCCCAACACTTTATCAACAATGTTTATTTTCTTCGCTGTTGAGATTCGTAAAATGTGGACACATTTTGGGCGAATAAAACTAAACAGTGGTACTTTGGCATAGACAAAACACGCCAGAAATGCTTTTATACAGCCGTAGATAGTGTGCAGCCAGCGTCTTTGTACATTTGAAACATTTGTTAAACATCATTCTGCGGTTTGATACATAATTTCTTCTCATTCATAGAAACGACTATTCCTTTAAGTTGCTTGTGTGGCTTACTTCCGGGCCATTGACAATGAGCACGCGCGCGTACACAAGCTTAAGGTTTTATTTTGACGACCCCAAAATATTTCCTTGCTCCCCCCCCCCCCCCCAATTTTATAGCCCGGCGCCGCCACTGAAAATATGCACATGACAGTTTTCTTTTTTTCCCCCTGAATTTCGTGAATTGGTATAAATGAATCTGTACGATTTTCATTATGTTAATCAAACTTCAGAACAATTTCTCTTAAATTCGGTGGTTCTTGAGTGACAGTTAATCACATCTATTATTGTTACTTTTTTACCGAAAATAACTATTGCTCTACGAGTGTAAAATAAATCTCGAAAATAAAAGGTCATGACTTTAAAGTTTAAAACCGAGCAGGCACAGGAAAAGGTAACACATTTACTTTAATAATCGAAAAGAAAAATCACAATATGAAAATAGGGAAAATATCAAATAGAGTCCAATATGAAAGAGAACCTTACGGCAATTATTTTGAACATAACTGTGAGTTCTATGCTGTTTGATCGTTGATATGTCCATAATTGCACAGCTATGCTTTGCCCTAGTTGCCTAATTTGTTTTCGTTGTGTTCGAAGATGTTATTATTATTTCAGTTAAAACGTTTATCAACCTGGGTAAATATATACATGTAAAAACCTACAACCGAAAATGGCACTTGTTTTACAGTAATAGCATCGTAATCGCTGGTTATTACCTTATAATTATTACACTCAAATATATATTCATAGTTCAAAGTCTGAGTAAAATTCTTTCAAAAATAATATGTATATACGTACTTTAAAGTTAAACTCTTGAATATGAAAATTGCTCAGTTTATTGTTGAAGTTGCAGACCGACTTGGAACCGGTTGGCGGGAAGAACAATTGGTTTAAATTTGCACTCAATCAAACACTTAAAGCAGTTGGCATACCGCGAATTCCCCTATGACATATACTCATTATTGTTAGCTATAAGATCACTAAATTTGAAACACGTCCGGATTGCATTTGACACAGTGCAAAAAAAGCCCAATCCCAGAAATGAAACTGATGCCAATGTTTTCATATTGAAAATTTGTAGAAATTAAGCCCATACCTGGGATGTCATCAGCCTTCAATAATAATTATTTCGATCAATTAAATACCTTTCCAAACGTTTCTACTTATTTGAAAATACAAATTGGAAGACATTTAAGTTGCTAAGAAAGAATTGTATAGGCGTAGGTGTACTTCTAATACGCTTGTCTATTACTATATGACAAGTGAAAGGATAGCCAAACTTCGTTCTGCAATCTGTATTTTGTAAACTACATTTTGGAGTTCGCGCCCTCTGTCGACAAATCGGGGCCAGGTCGCTGGAGATGATCATAATCCGGCGACGACACAATATCATGGGCGCCCCCAACTTCTGGTTCGTTCAACTCGGTGACTTTCTCGTAACCGGAGTCATCTACAGGCGGTCGATTCTCCGCGGGTGGCTCAAGTGTGAAGTAGCTATGACGCTTGTTGTCCTCGGCCGGTTTCACTGTTGCAATCTCGTACCCGGAATCTCGGGCGACGGGGCGAGCCTCTGCCCCCGGAGAACCCTGATTGGGCAGTTCATGTGTGATGTCCCCTGAACCCTTAACACGAGCAACTTCGTATCCAGACTCTCGATTCTCCGCGGGTGGCTCAAGTGTGAAGTAGCTAAGACGCTTGTCGTCCTCGGCCGGTTTCACTGTTGCAATCTCGTACCCGGAATCTCGGGCGACGGGGCGAGCCTCTGCCCCCGGAGAGCCCTGGTTGGACGGTTCCGGTGTGACGTCCCCGGGACGCTTAACCCGAGCAACTTCATACCCAGAGCTCTGGTTGTGTGTCTCTTCCCCGGCTAGAACTTTGACCTCTTTCTTTGTCTCCTCATCACTACTCAGGTGCCCAGTTTGCGGACGGGTGCCCAATTTCCCATTCTCCTTGCCGACTGTACCTTTCTTATTGCTGTCGGTTTTAAGCCGCGAGTAGTAGTGATCCTCCTGCAGCTCGTCCAAGTCTGGCCCCTCTTCTAACTTAGGGTCGTTCACTGGTGCCCGTGACACGTGCCCGTAGGCGTACGAGTACTCAAGGTCTTCGGGTACCAGCTGCTCGGGTGCGTTGGCTTGTGCCTCGGGGTCAGTTCCTTCAGGGACGAAATGGCAAAAAAATCGCAATAATTACACGTATCCAACAAAGCAAACATTTTTAATTTGACACGTGCTCATTTCTGGAAGTAGTTTCAATTTTGTTTGTGAGGGGATTAATTTCAGCATTCTTTCATAATATTCAGCAAACTTAATTAGTCAAACCTAAACGCCACTGGAGACATTATGTGAATATTGTAGGCCTGCTTTTTTTTTAACTGTACTTAACATTAATTCCCCTATGCAAACATTCTGTGCCAAGTTGTCCTTTCAGTCAAAATCAATCAGGTGACTGTTTTTAACAGTTATTTTGTTGAACAACCTATTCGTAAAGTAGGATTGACTGTGACTGTTTATGTAACTTACTTGATACAACTTTGCTTTCTCTGTGGATGACTGATAAGCCAGCTGTGCTCACAACTTGCCTGCTTTGTCTGTTCGTGGTCTCTTGTATGAATTTGATTCACATTGCTTGCTTATAAAACATGTTATCTGACTTTTGGTGAATAGTCCGTGTTAAAAGTATAGCAGGGGAAGTGGATGTAAAAGCTGACTGTCTGTGACTGTTTAAATAGCAGGAGAGTTAAAGTAGACGTTTTGCGTAACCATAGCTAGTTGATGCATGTCCTACCTTTTGAGCCCAATTCGCGGGATTCTGGTGATGATGATCTAGTTGGAAAAAAATAAATAATGATTTTCACTTATCTCATTCTGATTTGGGTTAAGATGGAATACCTACCAAGGTGGATTAGATGAGTTTAATTAGAACAAACTGTAATGATGATGCGATCAGTAAGATATGAGAATACGTTTATATCCACAACGTATGGTCGTAAGTTTATATCTGTAATTCTGATTCACACCCATACCTCTGTGTCGTCATGTGTGATTGCATAATACTTCCAAAAACGTGGCAAGATATCTTGCTCAGGAACAAGCTCGATCGGAAATATCTCGGAAGCTGCGGTCCAACGAATTCGTGTTCATGCATGGGTCACGTGGTTGTGTCGTAATTTTTTGAAGGGGTAGTGTTTTGAGTAAAATGAATTAGATTTTTGACCCCAGTGGCCCCATGATGACCTTTGACCCCAGTTCGGTCATGTGGTATGTTGGGGCTGGGCTACTGATACTTTTGACAAAGTTTGGTTGAACTCGGTCAAAACATGTAGAAGCACTCATAATACAATGTCAACGTTTGTTACTAAGTAACTAACTAACGGAGAGACATAGTGATTTGTTGAGCTGCTATCCCGCAGGTAAAAACAAACACAGTGTTTTGCCGAAACTAGAACCAACAATAATGTTCAGAATGAAGTAGGCTAATGTTGACCATTTGCAAAAATTTCCATTCTGACAATTGTTTTTTAGTATTAGGACTTATAAAAAATACATGATGACACCAATCTGGACGGAAATTGCTCCATATTGTGGCAAAGTACCTTGCCCAAGAACAACAGTGTTTGATTGGACTGGACTAGAACCAGAATTAGAACATGACGTATCCGGTGTTGATTATTACCTCGTCTTAGATCGTCCACAAGGCAGACCTCTTTTCCAGACGCAGCAGCTTATGACCAGGACAAGGATGATCAGAATGACAGAGAGGCTGCATGCGACTGTCAGAGAGGCAATGTCCAGGTTGGAAGAATTGTCGAGGTTAGAAGAATTGCAGCTGAAAGTATAATAATCAACAAAACTCAGTAAGTACGTCACTTTAAACAAAAATTCAAGGGTACATGCGATGAAATAAGGGATGCGTGTGTGATTTTTTTTTCGTTTTGCTGAATGAACGCACATCTATTTTTGTGATCCGTGGACAGAACTTTAAAACGGTGGTTGTGTTTAAAATTCCGTAACCTGAAAAGAACATGAGCGATTTCAGAAAAAGAAAGCTTGTGAATTGGCTTTCATATCCTAGATTTTGAAAGTGCTACATGCCCGCAGAACTTCACTAAAACAATAGTTCCGACATTGGGTTTCTCTTGTTTTTTACTCACCCTGTATATGAAAACAATTTTTGACATTGCTGTTTTGATTAATGTTATTGAAAAGTGCTCTTCGTTAAACATTTTTTTTTAAATCCCATGCTTTTCCGGCGAACTAAGAGCACTGTTGCTGTGATATCATTTCAGAAAGACGTTCTTCAGTTGAGAGGCTTTCTGTTTAAATTGTGAAGCCAAAAATGTGTTGACTGAAATCATTTGTGAGAAAGGTTTGCTTATTGGCTTACTGCCATGTACTGACACAACGAATCACCAAAGATGAAAACATTTACAAAATAAAAATAATCCAAATTCTGGCAACTTTTACTGCTGAAATAGCTGAAACATTGAGGTTTCGGCCTGAAATAACATAATGAAACTGGAAATAGCATAAAGCATAAAAAACAAGACACCAAAATAACCCTGAAAATGGCAAAACGAAAAAATTAAAAGTAAGTTTAAATGGGGCACAAAGGTGCATTTTCATGGATTGCATTAACGAAATTACATTGCATGGGCCCTTTAAAGTAAGCCATCACTGATATCGTGACGAGGATGGATGCAAAGTTGATACCGCAGCTCCTATAGGCTACTGTAAAAAAAAAAGTGTTTGGTGTAACAGACAGTAGGCTCCGCAAATTATCAGTAGATGACGCTTCGTGAGCACTCACTGACGTGAGAGCTCTGTCTGAGACAAGTTCTCGTACTGCAACCGACAAAGGAAACTAATCGTGTTTTGCATCAACTGAAAATAAACTTTCGTTCATTAAATATCCCCTCAACATAACTTTAACTTCCATCCAACTCTGAAATGCCGATTAAAGTGCATCAGAAAAAAAACACATGTCCGACTTCACTGCAATGCTATGATAGCGTTTCCGGGAGATTTCGGGTAAAATCGCCGAACTGTGGAAACCACGTGACTTGCTCTCGGCCAACAATTGGGGGTGGAATGAGAATCGAGAAACCATCAGAATACATGGATATACTTACTTGCTGTGGAGACCAGGTAACCAGTCACCCGTCCCATAACCAGTCATACAGACACAGAGAGATTCAGATCGATTGCCATGTGTCTTGTTAACACATATCCCCAGCTCGTTCGTGCACACCACGGCGTCTTTGTAGCCGCAAACAAACATCTGGGGCACGGTACACTGGGGACCATAGTCTGAATATTCCATGTCATTATGATAAAAAAGGAGAGAAAAGGTAATTTCAACATTATCTTGACGTCGAAAAGCATCCATTATGGTAACAAAGGGGTTGGGACATGGGGCACGTCTCCATCCCACCCCACCTCCATCTCCTTTTCTATCCCATATGCTCAGACTCAGAGTGTCACTGGGAAGGCAAAATGAGCTTTTCATCGTTCAGAACGAATTTAGTGCCCCAATCCGGAAAAAAGGAGGCAATCCTAAGTGCCACATGTCATCTTGATTTCAGAGTTTATACATGCGGGTTTTTATGGTTTGGTTTTAATGGGTGTTCATGGACTAAACTGCGAAAATATTCTTTTTACATCAATCTATATATATAAGAGAGAAGTTTACCCGCCCCCGAGACGATGTTTGCTCATGAAAGGATCCGAGACCGCGGGCTCCCGCGGCGCCAAAATCGCTCCACGTCCGTGGAAAAATGCGGAGGGTGTCTTCCGCCGGGTCGGACACTTCGGGTCGTCCTAATTTTCCCGTACGGACCGGCGATCCGTTTCGTCGATTTTTCGTGACTGCTTTTTGCGCAGGAATTTGCCGTCGTGTGCGCTTTCACGTTGACTGCCTGGCCGCCCCCTGTCCTGGCTTTTTCTGCGTGTCTAGACTGTGCGAGGTCAGCGAGGTCAACGTAGGGGTTGCGTTTACGTGTTCTACTCGGCCGTTCTGCAAAAGCGTTCACCAAATTGTGGATGGGGTGACCTTGGTAAAATATTTTTTCTCCATGGTGCGTGGCCACCAAGTGCTCCTATTCTTTCATGTGCTTCGCTTGCCGCCCCTGCGCCGAGTGCAACGAATACTCAGAAGGACTACACATTAAGTATGCCTTGCCCGGTCTGACCAATCGAAAGTCTACACTGCGTAGTATTTCCGGGCTATGCAAAACTGTCGATGGCAACGCGTACTGCAGCCTGCTCCACACCCTGAAAACGAGGTTGGGTCTACGGTGCTCGCTATTTGAAGCGCAAGCATGTGACGTGTAGAGTGCTGTTGCTTCCATAATGTGTTTACAGCTCCATGCTTCCACCACCAAGGCTGAGCGTTGTGAGTTTGCTGCCCGCCACGTATAATCATGGAGGAATAAGAATTCCTCCATGGCATAATTCAGCGTCGTGTTATAATTTCGGGGGCCTGTTTTGGGTCAACGAAGGATCGCCGCGGTCTCGGATCCTTTCAGAAGCAAACATTTCTCGGAGGCCGAGTAAAACTTGCTCGATGGTTGAACCAACTTGAATAAAAGTTGAATCGCAGACGGTCTCGCAAATTGTTAGAAGTTCAAGTTTACGTTTGTTGAAGAGTCCAATACTGAAACTTAATTATGACCTTCCTCCATGATTCAGACCGTTTGTAATTTTTTGGTAACACTCAACATTTTCATTTTAAAAGACACCTTCACGTTTTATTGCATTATGATTTATTGTCAAACTGTACAACCACCCTTCGCCTGTGTACTAAAGTAACCTTTTCACTACTTTTTCCAAATGCGACTGCCTCACAAAAAGCCATTTTAACAGACCAACGGCAACATTTACAGACAGTTGCCATGGTACATAATTATCATGTGCGTAAATCAACGGGGGACAGGGGAACCCCCCCTCCCCCCCCCCCCCACACACACACATTTTGAGGGGGACATTGTTTGGTCTCCCCCCCCCCCCCCCCCCACACACACACTTTTCTTCCCCGAATAAAAATATTGTAGCCTACAATAATGATTCTATGCTCAGAATACATGTAGCTGATTCAATTACTCAAAACTCCAAACTTTCACAGATGATCTTTTGCTCAAAATTGGTTTTAGTGATCAGAAATTGCCTCAGATCACACCACAGAACTTGCTATTCTTTAACTGCATATCTCCCCAACTATATCCCCCATTTACATTTAACTCCCCACATTTTCATCCCCAACGCTATACGCCCTACCCGATCTATGATCGGGTAAACCAGCTTGTTATTTTATACATGCGAGTCACATACAATTTTTCACCGTAAGCAAAGCTTTAAAGTCACTCGCTTCCTGAAGCCATCTGAAGATTTTAATAAACAGTATGATTTCATCGTATTTCAGAATCGTTTTATTGAGATCTAAGTGTTCAATTTATTCCGATGCTTTTCCCCCATTTTGTTACTGTGTAACGTCACATGGTTATTATGTGACTAATCGTGTAAAATACTTTTATTTTACAACAGCAGCAGACTGAGACAGTAACAATATACAAAATGTTGCTGCGTGGAACACCAACTGGAAACAAAAAATGTCACACACAAATGTTTATCATCTCACCCTCGTGGTCAGTGGAACACTGAAGAGGTTTACACCCTTGTGAACAGGAGAAGTCAGGTACTCCAAGAGAACAGTTACTGAGAACAGAACTTGTGATAATCAAATAAGATTATTGGGACCGGTCTAATGCTATTGGTTTATGTTGAATTATGAACAGTTAATAGTGCAATAGCATAGTTCATACCTGCAGGTTATAATAAGACAACCTATACATTACTGGTCGTCAAAAAAATTACAAACTGTGAAAGGGAATGCTGTTAAGGGAGTTCGGATCGGCATAGGGTTGTGACCACTATATGTACTGCCATAGTCCACAGTGATAAACACCCCCCACTTCCAAAAATCTGGAAATATACTCAGAACTCTCCAGGGAGCCTAGACAAACATCAAATTAAATCTGATGTCATCGTGCTTAATTTTTTTGTTCATATTTTATGGGATAATCCGTTGACTTTTGGGGGAAATTTTCCCTCCAAAACTAATCACCCCTAAAAATCGCCATTTAAAAAAATGTGCCTACACTCCATTGTAACATTGAGCAAATTAAGGAGAAATATCAAAATTTCACAGAAATACAAGCTCACAGTCCTGTTCACGGCTCCTATACCTGGTTGTTTAACAACCCTCAATTCAAGTTCTAATAGCAGAGAGTTTGAGGGCATGCACATCGTCATTTGGACAGCGTGGGCAATTTGGGGGATTTGTACTGGACGAAGTGATGTACGAAGACACGTCTGCACTTGTGATCATCCCTGAACTTAAGGAGAAACGGACACATTCGCAATCAAAATTATGCCTGTATACACTCCATTGTAAAGTGAAGCAATTTTAGGATCCAATTTCATCCAAATTTCACAGAAATACAAGCTCATGGTTCAGTTCAGGGCTTCCACCTAGTTGTTTTACGACCCTCAAGTTCTAATAGCGGAGAATTTGAGGGCATGTTGGCCTTTGTACTGACCAACAACCACATATAGGCAGCTTGTTATATAAAGAAAGCGAGATATCGCGATCCATGTGATAGAGAATAAACATACCTGTTCGGACACAAAGCTTCAAATATTTGTGTATCTGTAAGCTCCGTTGGAAGTGGCTTCATATCCGCCAGACATGTTATCACAAACATCCCAAGTGTAAGTAGGATGTGAGGAACTCTACTCGTCATGGCCAAGAAACCAACGGACAGCGAACGGTCCATGATGGTGTTTTCGATAATGGCAAAACAACATCCAACGGGAACTCGGGCTAATTTCCAAAGCTCAATCGAATAGCTGAGTCACTTTTTGTGTGAAATAAATCTATGCACTTTATAATCGCGTACAAACCCATCTAACACGAATATCACAGTGCGCGCACGCCAGTATTGTGTTGCCAATTGCCCCACAACAGTCAGGGTCACTGAGTGTGAAGGACATGTGAAATATTATTGTGAAGTGAATAATATTGTGTTCAGTAGGCGTTTTCATATTCAAAACGGGCGGTCTTTCTTTCCTTGATTCGGTTGAGTGGAGTCACAACTAGCTAGCATAGGCTACAGAGTTCAAGGTATATGTGGCATGACACAGAGGTGGTATATTAGAGGGTGCTACGGTTGCATCGAACCAATTCAAGCCCCATTGAAAACTGTAAAATCAACAAAGTTCACAGCCACATAACATGCAAGCCGACATCACTAGGGTTTCTCAAACAAAAATTCAATCATTGTCTAGTCCTTCATTTTTCCATTTCTTTTCAATTTTTGGTGGGTTAGCGAATTTCACTTTTAAATATTCACACACAAAAATGAAACATCCCCCCCCCCGAGAAGTGATACTTCCCAAGCCCGCATGCGGCCATTTTATAAATGGCATAACTCCACTTTCGCAGGCAAATAGGACCCATTTTTCAACCGTAATTTTATCAAGTCCGCCTCAGATGGAAGCCCGAGAACCAGGGAGTTGTTCCTCGGCTATATTTACACAATCCAACCCTTTTTCAAGCCAAACGGTCTCCTTTTTAAAAAAAATGTTGTGGGCGCTTTTCATGCTAATGAGCTCGCGTATAGAAATTCTCACTTCAATTAGTTCAGTGTACACTTATACACTTAGTGTGATAATCTGGTTCGTAAGTGTGACGTCATTTCAACTTTAAACCACGCCCGCAACCCACGGAGTAGTATTAGAACCACTGGAACCGGAAGTATTACAAAGTGGCGAAGTCAGCCAATGGGCGCCAGTAATCAGTGGTGTGCGCGCGTGTATTATGACGCGGCCACTTTACGAACCGAGTACCAGTTCGTGTTTTTGGATTTTAAAACTGCCGAGACAATGTAATTGTTTCCATAAGAAATATTGTTTTTATTGTTAAAAACGTACGAAATATACAAATACATTGTATCCTTGGCCTAACACCAACAACCATTTTAATATTTGAATTTACTTTTTGTAACAGTCTTTCGCATTTTATTTTGATAATACAATGTGATAAGCTTTATTCTCATTCTGCATATGCATACAATCAGTGATGTTACTATGAGGCTTGGCATATCCCAAACGCTCTGGGTCTGTGCCATTGTAGTGCCCCGTGCCGGTGTAGCGTGAATATCCGACTCCATGAAATGTGGACTCATTGGTAGTACTGCGCACGCGTGAGTACGATACTATGCTATTTTTAGGATCGTTTCGGGAGAGTGACCTGTCACGTGCGAGGGATCAACCAATAACAGGGAAATAGGGGTCCGATTTTCATAGGAGTCGGATTTTCATGTGACACCGGCTTTATCGAGAAGAATGCACCGAGTGGGTGTTGGTTGCAAATTCTAAGGGACCATTTGTAATGCGAGCACGGATGTACGTGTCACTATTGTTTGGCCCCTTCCATTGATCTACCTTTACATTTAGAAGGAAAAAAACCTTTCATATAAACTGGAAAAAGTTCACAAGTTTGAATGCACGATGATTCATACATGTTTGATCATCGATAATTCCTTAATGGTGCAGACCATTAAATAGGCCCGAAATTGCGTATGCTGGCCAAATCACGATTTGCATACCTTCAAAATCTGTGGTATTAGAGCATTTTGAGGGCCATGAACTCGAGGATTTGTAAAAAACGAAGGATGGAAGCCGTGCAGAGGACTGCAAGCTCGTATAAGTGTGAAATGTGGATAAGATTTTGCAATGGAGCGTAGGCGTCCGTTTTCAAAATGGCGATTGGTTTCAGCCCCGCTTTTAGGGGTGATCATCTTTGTATGGGATTTTCTCCATAAAGTCATTGGATAACTCCAAAAAAAGACTTAACGGAAAATGAAAGATGATGGATTAACTTTATTTAAAGTGTATCTTAAACACCTTGGAGAGATGTTTTAATAATTCATTATTATTCTTTTTAAAAATAATAAAGTGAGCGTAATTATCACGGGGGTATATGGCAGTCTATTTACTGGTCTGTAGCCTTGAACTGTTCAAAAGTACATTAAATAGGGTTCAATTCGCCAACATTTCTTTCTTTACCAAATACTGAGGGTTCATAACAGTTTTATTGCTACTGACGATATCTGCTACATTAAGGCCTACAACCCTTCTTTGTGTACATGCTTATCTGGGCCCAATTTCATAGCACTGCTTAAAAGTAAGCATAAAAGTTGTGCTTACTATAGCAGAAAATCATGCTGCTGCTTAAGCACTATTTCATGCCGTGAATGTGCTAACGGTTGCACGTGCATGGAGATTCTATTGTTACGTCACTGATTTAAGCAAATTTTTCTTCTGGGGTTAAGCATGCTTTTGCTGTGCTTACTGTTTAACAGTCCCTATGAAATAGATGGAGGCTCGGTAAGCACAAAGTCGACTGTTAAGCAGCGCTATGAAATTGGGCCCTAGTCTTGTGGGGGTCATGCTTTGTTTATGGCTTGAAGTCGAAGCGCGAATTTGGGGTTTTAATACCACCTAGTTTAACGCGGGGAGACACCAACGGTTTGTTGTGTCCATGGAGGGGGCTCGGGGGGTTTCGAAGTTCGAAGGCTTCGTTTTCGCCACGGCTTGTGAAACCCTGCTCCTCACCCCTTCTCCGAGTAAGAGGAGAGTTCTCGTAAACATTGGGTGATCTAGGGTGTGGTTCCCCTGGTTTAGGGCTGCCTGGTGTGCCTAGCCGCAGCTGGTGACCGTATGCGTAGTCGTAATTGCGATCATCGGACACCGGTGATTGCGGGTCGGCATAGTCATGGTCATCATCATCGTCGCTGTCAAGTTGGTCCCTTGAAGTCTCGGCAACTGAACGCTCGGGATGTGATTCTCCCGATTTAGGTGTGCCTGGTACCCGCAGCTGGTGGTCGCAAGCGTAATCGTACTCGAGATCGTCGGACACCGGCGACGGTAGTTTGACATACTCGTGATCCTCATCCTCTTGGCTGTCATCATCATCTGCAGTAGGCTTGTCGACCCGTCTGAAGCGGGCTGGGACCAACGGGCGCTCCTTGAGTCCGTTTATGTCTGGAAACTTCCCTTGGCTAAAGTAATCATGTTCAACTGTAACTTCCTGTTCCTTAGCCCCATTGCTGGTTAGAGTGTTTTTCTGATGGCTTGGCAATCTAGGGTGGGGGTCCCCCAGTCTAGGACTGCCTGGTACCCGGAGAGCGTGAGTGTATACGTAATCGTATTCGAGGTCATCGTCGTCACCTTCTTCTTCTGGACCCAAATTTGGAAGTTTCTTTTGGTCAAAGTATTCATGTTCAATTGTTTCCTGTTCCGCAGCCCCACTTCTGGCCAACATATTTTTCTGAATTCTTGGCGATGTAGGGTGGTGTTCCCTCGGATTAGGGCTGCCTGGTACCCGGACCGGGTGAGTGTATGCGTAGTCGTATTCAAGGTCGTCATCGTCATCAGCAGCAGTATCCTCGGGACCAGTTGTGTTTGGCATTTTCTTTTGGTCGAAGTATTCATGCTCCATTTTACTTGCTTGTTTTCCAGGTTGTTTGTTAAACGCCATGTTCTTATAGTCTAGGTCTGGTTGGGCATACTCGAGCGAGTCATCATCCTCGGGGTCGCTCCTCCTATTCATGTTAAGTTGCTCGGTGATGGCTGGTTCGTGCTTCTTGCCAGGTCGCACACCACGGGCATTCATTCCGTTTCTCTGGTCCAGATTCACGTTTGAGTATGTGTGTGGGCCCCCCGGTTTTAAACCTGCTGGTGTCCGCAGCTCGTTGCCCGTGGCAGCGTATGCGTACTCCATGTCATCGTCGGTTACAATTTGTTGGTGAACTTTGGAGGTCTCCTTATTGGGCTCTGAAACTGATCGTCAAAAATAGGTACCATGTAAATTTTGCAGTACAGTGACAGTCTTCTTACCATGTTAAACCAGGGCTACGTACATACACCCACAATTGAACAAAGCTTTTTAAAGCTCTGGCAGGAGCTTTTACATGTCATTGGGTGGTCGGTCGGTCCCCGGAAAATTCACCAAAAGCCCCCTAAGTTTCCCACAATATATAACCACCAACTTTTAATTGACAAAAAAAGAAAACCAACAATTAAATACTTAAAGAGTTTTTGTAACAATTCGGAAAGATGTTTATGAAAAGTTTGTTAGTGGAGGCAAACTGTGCGCAGTAATGATAGAGTCACGTGGTATTTATCACAAATCGCTTTAAATCCAAAGCCAAAGTCCAAAATATTGTGTTCCATATGTGCCATCGTGCCATCGGCATCGCATTTTTGGGCGTGGCCTTTTTAAGCTCTTGCAGGGATCATTCTGATAGATTTCATGCAAGACTTTCATGCAAGACGGCCAGAGCTAATTGTGCACTCGCACTTGTTTCTCTATATCTTCAGAACTTAGGCCTTCAAAGGTCTGGGTTCAATATCATTGAGCTCAGTGAGTGACATACTTAACCCAGAGTGATTTTTTTTTTGGTTTGGCCAAAAAAAAACTCAGCTTGTACTTTTTGCATTGTGTACTATACGTTCGTCTTGCAGCTCCACGAAATTTGGCCGGAGGCCAAATTTGGAGCATGGTTATTTCCTTTTCCCTGTTGATGGCTGATGAGGGTTGTTCAAGGAAGCCATCACTCCTTAGAATTCATCATGATCAAATGATAACCCCTTTTTGTGTTGTGCACTCTGGATTGTGCCGAATATATTGTCGAATATTTATAAATAGGTAATGTTATTATCACTTTATCAACACCAGCTCTTATTTACCTATTGCGGTTGTGTCTTGAGCTTCAATGGCTTCTAATTCCGGAGAAGCAGTCCTACGAAAACAAACATAAAGAAGATAAATATTACATTGTAAGGCAGATTTTTTGTGTGTGAAAAACTTGAAACCTTCAACAGTTCAGCTGTTGAGTAGGCCCTAGCTCGTGTGATTGTGTCTATTTTGGACTAGCTTCTTGCGTTGACTTCTGAGTATGTGCTAAATAAGAGAATCGGGTTGGTATATTCCTCGCTCAGTTTCCATCGCTCAGTGTAACCCGGTTGTTATTTCTGCTTGGCCCAACATCCATGTTGGTTTTTAGTCCCTGCCTGATGTCGTGGGTTTTCTCTCGATATGCTAGAGTATGACCGAGTCCGAATTACTCAGCCTCAACTTGATGGTACACACGAGTCTGCATGGCAGCGACTGCAGCCACTTCAGACTCGTGTGTGATTTGAAACCACAGCCAATTGATTCAGACTCAACCTAACATTCTGGGGTTTTCCTCCCACCTCTAAAACTGTACTTTCCTTCCTACCTTCCACCAGGAGTTCAACTGGAAATGAGTCGAGAGACTTTCACGGTTTTTCATGTCAAATTTACAGTACTCGAGTATTTTTGATGAAAACAAAAGTTTGGAATGTCATACGTACTGTGCCGTTTCCCCGCAGCACTTTCGACGGCCATTTTGTCGCATACAACAGCAAACAACGACGACGACAGTGATGAGAACGACGAAGGACAAGCAAGAGACTAACACCGCCTGGGTGGTGTTCAGCAGTGGAGCATCCGTGACACTATCCATACTCGAAGTCTCGAACCGCAACAGATTATTTCAGATATTGAAAATGCAGCTTGATAAACACACGTCGATGCCAGATTAACATGCAAGGCCTCCTGAAGTATATTTATTGTGGCTGTGTAAAAAAAAAAGCCTAGCAGTTATTATTTTTTTTACTTCTAAACTTCCTGGTTCGTATGTGACTTCGCATAAGCTTTATTCTCACGGCTTTCAGGCAGTAGACACCCCTGTTTCCCTAGTCTCGCAAAATGCATACGCGTTTACATGAAATTTGCTGAGCCAGGTACAAAACTCCAGTTAAATAACTATAGTGCAGGGGTCGCGGTTAATAAACAGAGAACCATTTTTAACACCGTGCTATTTTCGGCAACTGAACTAACTCAATCATGCATGACGGTGTCATATGAAGTCTGAACGTCTATTAACGCTGGTCGCCTTTTACCTTATATGGACTCGAACCCCCTCACGTGACTTGCCCCTTTTTCAGTCGTGCGCAATACAACCGATGAGTACGTATGTCTTAGTCAAATTTTCACTATACACCAGCTCAGGTGGAGTTTAAGAATAGAAAGGGGAACTGATCTTTAAAAAAAATCAACAGGTCACGACAAGGTCACGTATCTTAAGTATACAGCTCTATAGTGGTAACACAAAATATTGTATAAACATGTTGGATTCAATTTGTGAAAGGTTGTAAAATGTTCCGGAACAATTTTAACAGAACCTTTAAAACAGAATTAACCAACGAGTGCACCGTAGATTTCTTTTCTTTGTGAATGATGCGACGCGATAATCAGATTTAGTAAAGGCCTCTTTCCAGGGTAAAATGTCACATACATGTAGTCCAGACTAAAGTTTGATGAAGAGGAAAGAAAAGAGGAACGAGGTTGTTCCGTGCTCATTTGTAACGTAATAGCCAATCAGAGTCTGTGAAATCTCAACCCACACCCGGGTGAAAGTTGTTATAGATTAGGACGAAGTTAGATGTAGAAACTGCAAGTGCGAACGAGGTTGTTTCATGCTCCTTTTGTACCATAGTACACGCGATGAGGTGAAGGTCGTTTCGTTGGGCTGTTAGGCGGCAAGCTTTCAGCCTTGCTATTCTTTTGATATGATTTATTTCGGTACACGTGAGTCAGACACACACGTACAAAGACCCAAATTCCTGGCATTATTGATATCAGCATTATGTGTGTTCGGTGCATTATGGCTTTAAAATGCCCTGTTGCGTCGCCATGTTATTTCCTTCCCAAAGTTTGTGTTAATTTTCATAATTCCAGATTTGCATGAACTTTAATGTACAGGGTGAGTAAAAAAAAAACCCACGAAACCCAAAAGTAGGGACTATTGTTTTAGTGAAGTTCTGCACGTAGCACTTTCAAAATCTAGTATACGAAAGCCCAGTTCATAAGGTTTCTTTTAGTACAAGAGTCATTCAAATCACTCATGTACTTTTCATGTTACGGAATTTTAAACACCACCACCGTTTGAAAGTTCTGTCCTCGGATCACAAAAAAGCGTGCGTTCTTACAGCAAAACGAAAACAATTCTCACAGATCCTGATGTGATTTGTTTTCGTTTTGATGAAAGAACACTTACCTTTTTGTGATCCGTGGACAGAGCTTTAAAACGGTGTGTGTGTTCAAACTTCTCAAAAACTTGAAAATTACATTAGTGATTTGAATGATTCTTGTACGAAAAAAATGCTTATTAATTGGGCTTTCATATCCTCGATTTTGTAAGTGCTACGTGCAGAACTCCACTAAAACAATATGGTCCCGACCTTTGGGTTTCGTTGTTTTTTTACTGGCCCTGTACATTTTGTAAACATTGTGTAAACTTTCACACTTTCAACACGCACACCTCAGCACAGCCCCCTTGAAATATGATTTGCATGAAACTGACTTTTGTCATAGTGACGGTTTCTTGTTCCCCAAACTATACTACGTCAACACAGTATTTCTGGAATATTTCTGGGAATCCCGAGTGCCAAAACAAATATTTTCTAAAAAGAATTTCAGCAATCTAAATTTATTACCAGGAAGAAACTCACGTTTTATTACAAACCAAGAATAATAACGAATTTGAAAGAAAAATACTGAGTCACGCACTGGCTTTTTACAAGCGTGCCAAGCCTCCAAAACTGATAAAGTTTATCATATAACAGCCTTTAAATAACAGCCTTTTAACAATATTACAATATCATATATAAGATATACAGCAATATCATAACAGGCTTTTATTTTATTAATCACCGTTTGAAAGTTCTGTCCTCGGATCACAAAAAAGCGTGCGTTCTTTCAGCAAAACGAAAACAATTCTCACAGATCCTGATGTGATTTGTTTTCGTTTTGATGAAAGAACACTTACCTTTTTGTGATCCGTGGACAGAACTTTAAAACGGTGTTTGTGTTCAAACTTCTAAAAACTTGAAAATTACATGAGTGATTTGAATGATTCTTGTACGGAAAAAATGCTTATGAATTGGGCTTTCATATCCTCGATTTTGTAAGTGCTACGTGCAGAACTCCACTAAAACAATATGGTCCCAACCTTTGGGTTTCGTTGTTTATTTTACTGGCCCTGTACATTGTAAACTTTCACACTTTCAACACGCACACCTCAGCACAGCCCCCTTCAAATATGATTTGCATGAAACTGACTTTGGTCATAGTGACGGTTTCTTGTTCCCCAAACTATACTACGTCAACACAGTATTTCTGGAATATTTCTGGGAATCCCGAGTGCCAAAACAAATATTCTCTAAAAAGAATTTCAGCAATCTAAATTTATTACCAGGAAGAAACTCACGTTTTATTACAAACCAAGAATAATAACGAATTTGAAAGAAATATACTGAGTCACGCACTGGCTTTTTACAAGCGTGCCAAGCCTCCGAAATTGATAAAGTTTATCATATAACAGCCTTTAAATAACAGCCTTTTAACAATATAACAATATCATATATAAGATATACAGCAATATCATAACAGGCTTTTATTTTATTAATCTATTGATTTATCTGTCAGAATGACTATTAAATTATTTGCCAAAGGATAATCTATAAGGAAGATGATACACAGGCCTACATTGATACATAATTTGTATATACATTGGCATTCCTTTCAAAGAAATGAACCTTTTAAAACCGAAACCCTCAATCACATCCTTGTATAATAACAATTCATTTCAGCTTTGCTTGTTCTTTAATTCTTTGTACAGTTATTTTGTAGTGTCTCATATGATCTCCATAAGCTTTACATTAATATGATACTGAAACTGTCGAATTATTTACACAAGGTAGTTTTGGCTCCAAAATGCAGTGCTTGTTGCATAGTAATATCACTGACTTGTCAACAGGGATATGATGAAGTATTTAATTGTCCATCCTTTGTGGAATTGGCTTTGGTTTTGTTCCGGTTTCGTGCGTAGTAACCTTGACAACAGTGTTTTGGAATCAATGTTATTTCAGCTGTTGCCAGAGGGGCCAAGCATGTAGTTCTCTTCGTACTTGACTGACTGACTCATGCTCACAGTACTGACTGTCACTTGTGATTTTGTTTGTTGGGGTGTTTGTTTGTTTGTTTGTTGGGGTGTTTGATTGTTTGTTTGTTTTATTTTTCCATTTATATAAAATAAAGAAAAAAATTACACAAAATGATACAATAACAAAATTAATTATACAAATATTGTATCTGGAGCAAACTAATTGTATGATTGGGGTGACATCCGAGAGAAGGGCAAAGCCTTCTGTAGAGGAGCACCCTAGACTGCTGTCAAATTAAAAATAAAAAAAATTATACAGTCTATTTCGGTTGCATAACTAAAATTGAGATGATGTTCATTTCCGGGTTTAATAAATACAAAGTAACCGATAGCAAATACTGCCTTGCTCGTTATGGACAGGAAAAGCAGTTAAGATTGGCACAAAGAGAATCCCTGTACTTGTCTAAATACAGTTCTTTTTAAGTGCTTCATTAACGACTTATTTGACAAGTTTACTAGATCGTTTCTTTAAAAGGGTGGGAAAGAATTAAACATTGTAGGCATAACATGTTTATAATTAGGAGAAGCAACGTCTAGCCTACAGGTGGTTTGCAAATGGGTGGGATTGCCTTGACGAGTAGCATACGAGTGAGCATCTTGGTTCAAGAAGAAAAAAATCATCACAACTTAAGTTGTTTGGAAGCAATTTATGAAATAATCATAATAGATTTGCCTAAGCCTCACTTTGGCCCAAAAGTTTGAAATAGGATTACCCTGTTAACGCCAAAGAATGGGCTGCATCTTTCCTATTGTGTAGGCAACATGCTTTAAAATACTTCAAGTGAACCACTCTGACTACATTGAATATAATTGTGTATCCTCAGGGACCGTCTCTACCAGCCTTGCCTTGTCATAACCACAACTGCTTGCAGTGGATATTACACACCATCCATTGTAAATGAATGTACATGTTAAGGTGTAAATTACCTTAGGCCAAAAAAAAATAGTTCTGCTTCCGATTACATGGCATTCGAAAATAGGGTAGGTAGGTAGGGATTTTTTTTTTTTGCCAATTTTTTTTTTTTTGTACGATCATATGGAGGCGTCTGCGTGCAGTCAAGGGTAAAAGTAAATTGAATGAAAAACGGACTGCATAAAAAAAATTAGAGTAGGGGCTGTCAGAATAGGGTAGGTAGGGAAACCGGAAGCAGAACAATTTTTTTGGCCTTATCTTGTTACACAGAAAATTTCAATGCATAGGCCTGTTTTGATTCTATGGAAGGCCTGAAAATAGTTGGCCATTTTTAGGCAGAAATCTACGGATTACTTACAAATTTGAAGCTACATGTATTTAAAACTAAGACTAATGTTGATCTGAGACAACATAATGTAGGTTCATGTATGAACATTGTCTACAGTGCATTTCTAATACCATCTCGTTAATTCAGATATAACATGTGGGGCCTTTTTTTCATTTATTGAATTGAAAAGTATAAAAAAAATATTAATTGCTTACAAATATACAGATGTATTGCGTTTTTCTCAGTATGCAGTCATCCTTTCATGGACGCAGATTACTCTCAACCAAAGCAATCCTTATTAAACCGCACTTAACTATACAAAAGCAAAGTAACAGGGTGAGTCAAAAAACGGAACCCCCAAACCCCAAAAATTACATTTCATATTTAAATAAATATCTAGCACCAAATATAATAATGACTGGAAAGCCAATTTCATAAGCTACTTTTAGATGAAAACATTACTGAAATTCTTCAATTCGTTCAAAGAATATCAACATTTAAACACAATGACCCTAAAACCTCTTTCGTACAAAAATGCGATTGCAAGAATCGTCGTTACAGTTGTCTTCAAACATAAAACCTAAGTTTAAAAGTTAAACATATTCAACGCAGTCCTTTTGAAGGCCCGTCTTTAAAAAAGAATGGATTTTATCAATCATATTGTTTGCCTAACCAGGGTTGTTAATAAAGATATTGTGTACTACAGTTGTTGACAGTTGTTGAAACAAGTATTCTGTTTCTTTGTTGTTCCAAACATTCAGAATACACACTAAACTGCTTTTTTTGGACGAAATAGGTTTTAGGATCATTGCGT